GAACCAGAGTAAGCATATAACAAACAGGCGACGGGAAGATGAAAGTACTCACCTGAAAAATAATGATGAAACCCATGACCACGCGAAAGACAAAGAAACATACAAAGCCAGAAAAAAGCCAAAAACACAAGTCAGATATAAAGAAAAGTTTCAACATTATTTGTCAACCGAAATACGGCCGAAAGTGAAATAAACTGAATGAGTATGGAATTCCGACAGGAGGAGGAATAGAAACAGGAATAGACAGTACCATAGAAGCATACGGAGGAGGAGGATGTTATATGCAGCAAATCGACGACCACGGGAAACCAACGACGACAAGGGCGTTACAGATTGTGACTACGAAGAAATCAGAGGCAACGATGATGAGGACACTGCAGGGATTGAGGATTAGCAGGTGGGAAGGACAAGGATGATAGGGTATAAATTCAGGGACGGTGGCTGAAAGGATTACCTGAGCAGTGAGGTAGAAGGGTAATCGCAACAGTCGTCGCATGCCATGGACAGGACGTGTATACTGCGAAAGTAAAACCTCGCACGTGTTGTCTATTGTTGCAAGTGTGTATCTCAAGGCACGGTGCGTCGAACTTGCGGGCGGTATCCGGTATGATCGACACTGAATCTAGGTGATAATCTGCGAATCTGTTCTATCTGCTTCTCTATCGTCTTGTCTATCTTTCTAGTATCATCTCTCTCACTCCAGTACAAGGAACATAGCTCGATCATTAGTGCATGTACTTCGGTTAACTTACTTGGCGGTTTCCATCGGGCGTGGAGATTGTCGTTTAGCGTGGAGATTCTATGCGCGATTTTGGAGATTGCTTCACACTAGCGATTTGGAGATTGTTCGTGGTGTGTCGGTCGGCTTTTCGTAATCATCATTGATCGACGAAGTGGAGGGTACCCGAACATCCGGATACTTCAGGGAAGATGGCACGATCACGCTCATCATCGGATAGAAGGAGGCGCAGGCACTCGTCATCGCCCTCTGGAGCGCACAGAAGGAAACGCTCAAGACGGGGGAGATCCAGGACTCCGAGAGATTGACGACATAAGAACAAGATCTCCATCATCCAGTAGGAGGAAGGCAGAATTGGAGTCCCCAAAGCGATTGGCTCGTCCACATTGGGAGCAATGATGCAATGATTTCCGCGTGGTTTATGGCCGATCTGAAGGAAGATCACGCGTGGTTTATGGCCGATCTGAAGGAAGAAATCTTCAAGCTACAACGAGAGATGGACAAAGTGCTGATGACACTAGAGCAACTCACCATGAAGGCGGCAGACAAGAAATCTATGCAACATGATAAGAATGATGGAAGCACGAAGAGATCAGAGGTGGCAGCTGAAGAACCAAAAGCGAAGGAACCGGTCACCGCATCTGAACTCAAATCAATCATTGACAAAGCACTGAGACCAGATCTGCAAAGTGCGAAGCAGGGGGGACAGCGCAAGCGCCAAACACGCAAGCAGGTACTAGCGGAGCAGGACAGAAGGCAGCTGAAGACGAAGGTAAAGTGGAGAAAATGGTGTCAGAGGTGCAGAGAGACGTGAACGGCCTCAAGCTCCTTAAGTACGATCTCGCTGCAGTGAAAGGAGCATTGAAGAAGATAAATGAGCCAACAAGAACCTGCACACCAATAGCATCATCATCCGTTCACCCGAACCAGTATCCCGAAGGAATGACTGGACTACCGGCTTCAGTGCACATCAGCCGCAGCGGTCCAACCACAGTCTACCAAGCCGAAGCATTCCAAGTCGGAGTAGACTGAGCCGACCATTTCCTCCACATCCCAAGAAGGGACGAACTAAGACACGATGACGAACAAGAACAATCAGGTTGAAGGCGAGACGGAGCATCAACTTCGGCGTCGAACCGATAACACGCAACTCCGCATGCATTACACGGATCTGCAGGATTTGTGCAAGATGCACGATATCAAGTACAAGGATAAACCTCAAGCTATATCGCAGTTGCGTAGAGTGCCAGGTCTGATCGCATACAACGAACGCGATTTCAATCGCGACTCAGACCTCGAGACACAGATCAATCCAGATCCCGACAATATCAGGATCGGATCATCCACCGACGAAAAGACAGAGGAAGAGGAGGAGAGTTCGGAATCAAGTGAGGAAGATGATGACTCGTCAGACACGTCTTCAAGTACTGAAGACCTGTCGGGAAGGTAAGTAGGCCACCACCGGCACAGAAATGGGAACAAATTCAAAGACTAGCAACGACGATAGAAAGGCTAGTGAATACTGGTAAGATAAGTACATGTCATTCACACAATAAATGATACAGACTTCTGTTTATCTCACTAGCACCAGATGGAAGCATTCCATGGGTAGGCCCGTTAATAGACCTATGGACTGCTCAGTATCAATCAGTTGACTCGCTGCTGACAGCTAGCTATAGCGTATACGTTCTCATTTCGCCATGGTGTAGACACATGTACGTTGGGAAGACAGGAAGGACACTGGATAAGAGATGGTGCTAACATGTAAACTTAGCTAGGAACCCGAACAAGGGGGCACAAAGAAAGTTATACAGTTGGCTATGGAAATTTGGCTGGGAAAAGTACGTTCTGATACTAGTATGGACCGGAGTAAAATAATAGGTGACAACAATGGAGACAACGCTAACTAAGAGACTCAACCCATTCTTAAACACAAGGGGCAAAGGAAAGAAGATTCGAAAGAATAGGCGAAGAAGGATAGGGAAGAAACATACGATACGAAATGTAGATCAGAATATACCAATATTGTTTAAATTTGTGCGATCTGGATACACCACAACGTTAACTCAACTGTTACAACCAAAAGCGATGATCCACTGCACGGCAGGCAAACTGTGGAACGAAAAATGGAAAGTAATCAAACGAACGTTTGGATCCACAATCATTGAGATTAACAACACTAAATTCCAACTGAAAGAATGCAGAAAGAAAATTAATCAAGGTTGTACGTTCTATGTAATCCAGCTAGTGCACACAGGACCCGCAACAAACAAATATAGGAATATTCTGATTAACTGTCTTCGAGCACCATGAAGAAGGAAGGATTTATAGAAATTAACGTTGGACGATATTCTAATTCTGTTATTGAAAGTGGGTTCAATAACATGAAAGAAACAACGAGGCACAATTAAAGGGATATTCACACGAATTTCGAAGAAAAAATTTGCATTCAATATTAAGAAAGGCTCAAATTCAGAATTCCTTTTGCAGCAGAGATCAATCTCAAACAAGTAAGAAATGCCACAACAAATGCAATTCTTGAAAATGTGCAGAATAAAAATTTGGCAAAAGATTTAGCATCCCGCATGAGAGTGATGTTTAAAAAATCCAGAACTGTTGGTGAGGTCTTGCACAATCATAGGTAGGTGATGAAAAAAACTACCTGACTGTGAATGTGCTATCTCCCAACTACCAAAGATGGATGATCATGTTGTGTGCAGATTAAGTGAAATTACTGAAAACCGGTTAATATGGAATGCAAAAAACGTACCGGATGTTAACGCAAGAGTAGGGAAAGAAGAAGTTCGAAGGACAATCCTACTCACAATAGCAAGTATACCACGGGACATGCGAAAGACGAGAGAAATAAAAATTGATGTCTCAAGGTGTATAAACAAAAGGAAAGAAGAAAAAAACGAAGGAAATTATCTGGATATATCGAAAGTCTGGAAAGTCAAAAAGGATTTGGGACAACTGATCCTATCGCCACTGGATAGGAATCCTAGAGAAACGTTCATTAAATGTCCAAAAGCCTGGTATGAAAAGACAAATCAATTTTTCCTAGAATCCGAATACTATGAAATCGTTCAGCAGACAGAATTTCAAATTCTCCAACTAGCAAAGAAGACTTACCAAGGATGTGGACTGGGAAAGATTGCCGAATGGGATGAGAAAGGAACATACGAAAATGCTTATACAATTCCAAAGAACAAGGATGTAATTAGACGAAGGTCAATTGTACCAACATATAACGAACCTTCGCGAAAAGCATCGAAAATCCTGTCGAGAGCGATAAACTTTGTGTAAAACATGGAATATTGGCTTCTCATTACAAGGAACAAATCAACTTGTTCCAAAATTAAGAGAATGTAACAAAACAGTAGAAGAAATGTATGGACGGAACGCGGAATTGATATGCGCCATGTATGACGTTAAGGACATGTTTTCTAATCTAGATCATACACATGTTATAAACGTCATGCAATGAATGCTAGAGACGACAAAAAAAAAACGAAAAACACACCTGTGCTATAAACAAAGAGGAAAATACATCAATTTCGGCGAAGCAAATGGAACATACGGATGGAGAACGATTCAAATTGAGAGTCTGATGGACCTACTATATTTTATGACATTAAACATGCCTACTTCAAAGTACATGGAACACTGCTTCGACAAATCGAAGGGGTACCTATGGGAAAGGGCTCCAACCCACCTTAGCAAACATGGTATGCGCATTTGATGAACATAGATGGTGTTCTGATATTGGACTCGACAGGAAGCTGATTCACAAAATGTGATTTGTAGACGGCATAATGATCATGATAATAGCAGATAAAGAAGATCAAGGAAAAGAATTGAGATGCATGGAATCGTTCACCATTCACTGAAGCTAGAATCAACATCAGAAAAGGAAAGTACAAAATGGGCTTATCTCGAAACAACGATATCAAGGAAGGATCACGAACCCCTCCTGAAGTGTACACATTAACTGAAGAACGAAGTAACACTCCAGGAGGGGTTGTTGAGCTCTCTCTCTCTCAGGACATTGCGTCACTTCAGAAGTGCGGGTTGTCTGTCTATCTGGCCGCGGACCTCCAGAGACACTGTTCCAACCCCAATCGTTTGTTGCCCATTCACCCACCTACGTCTGTGTAAGAGATAGCATCGATTTCTGAGTGTCTGAAGGAATTGGTATATCGCTGCATACTCCCTTGTTTGTCCACTAACTAGCGTGTGTTTGAAAGTGGAAAATGGCGGATCAGGAGGCTACGCGGAAGCCACAGGGAGAAGTAGAAGTTAAGACAAAAGTTCAACAGGCTTCTGCCTCTCCCTCTTCTACACCTCTGACTGCTACTCAACGGAAGGAGTTGCAGGATAAACTGCAGCAGGAGCAGGTGCTGCTTGCAGAACAAGAGAGACAGGAGGCAGCTGAGTTGGAGGTTGCAACAGATGCCTCACGCACAGAGTATCTGTTGGAGCAGTTAACCAAGGCCATGTTAGATGAGCCCTGCACCCAGGTGACCAGGAACTTGGCGGAGTGGGCCACTTTGCAAAACAAAGCCACCAATTCCTATTTCACCAATTGGGATGATCTCCTGGGCCGTCTTGAGCGTAGAGTTGATGACCTGGCGGCTCAACAGTCAAAGCTACTGGATACAATTTAGGCTCTGATTGCTCAATTGACAGCAGCCAAGCTGATCACTCCTCAACCTCTTGTACCCAAAGTAAAACCTTCTTCTCCTGCTCCATCTCCCTCTGGTTCACACCATTCTTCCCCTTCACCAAAAGCCACGGGCCGCCCAATGCTTGATTATGCTCCTGCAGGTGATCAAAGGGGGCCCAAGATTCCAGCCCCCAACAAGTTCAGAGGCGATGATCCTAAAGTGGAAGTTGGGGACTGGATTGCGGGTACCAAAGCCTACTTGAGAGGCTTTATATGTGCAGAGCAGACCAAGGTTGCAACGGTGCTGGGACTGTTGGAGGGGCCCGCATTGAAGTGGGCTACCTCAACCTCCAGCAGCCAGGAGCAGCGCCTGGAGAATTGGGCTTTTGGGTTGGGGGTGGACAGACTTCTACAGGCCCTAGAGGACTGCTTTGCAGACAAGGAGCGGGCCCGCAAAGCTGCTGACAGGATTGCTCGCTTAAGGCAGCAGCGTTAAAGCAGGTCACTGCAATCTTTGTTTGTAGAGTTCGAGCAGCTCACCTCTACCCCTGGGTTGGTCGTGTGAGCAAATGATCTGCTAACCAACTTCTGGAGGGCAGCGCCTGAGAAGTTTGTTGTTGCTTTATACAGTGCTGGGTACAAGGATTGGAGATCCTTCGATCGTGCATCCCTGGACATGGAGGCAAAGGTACATGTTCAAGCCCCCTCTTCTGATAGAAGAAAAGGAGGCTGCCCTCGTGGTGGCAGAAAGGGAAAGGCTGCCTTTGCACATGCAGGATCTGGATCAGCCAGTGATTCAGACTCCCAGACTGATGTACCATCAACTGGGACTGAGTCAACTGCTGATACATATGTTGCAGCGGCCCTGACTCAGGCTGTTTTGGGAGTTCTGCTGCAGCAGAAAAGGTTTTCTTCCACTACAGCCTCAACCAGTACCAAGGGGAAGGACAAGGGACGACGTTCTTCTACCCCTGCCTGGCGACCTAATCTGCCAAAAGACGTTCGTATGCTAGCCGACCCACTCAATCCCTCCACTTTTCCCTGGCATGATCTCAAGATCCGGGAAGGAGTCTGGAGAAGAAGAAAGGATAGAGGGGTATGCCTGTGGTGTGAGGGTCAACACTTCTTGAAGGACTGCCCTTACATGCCAGACCCGGGTCAGTCAAAAAACTGAAGCAGACCCTGGGGAATGCAGTTCCCTCCAGTGCTGCACATTCATCATCTTGAGGAAGATGAATCTGCAGCTGCTTCAGTTGAGACACCGCAGAGTGTGGGAGCTGCGCGGGCAGTGTCCTTTTGTTATGAGGATCCTAACCCTCATCAGTAGCCGGAGGAGCATGAGCTGCAGACACTTGCTACCTTTTTCTTTCATCTGAAATAACAAAGGAAAGTTAAGTCTGACCTCATCCTGCTTCAACCCCTGATCAATCACATCAAAATCAAGGGGTTGCTGGATTGTGGAGCCACCAGAAACTTCATGTCCCCTAAAGTTGTCAAGAAATTGCACCTGGGCATGAAAGTTGAGCAGTTGCAGCATCCGCTGCAGGTTAGGATAAGTGACTCCGCTACTATCACCATCAGGGAGAAGGTCAGGGGTATCCCTATTACCTTCGACAGTGCTGGGAAAGTCAGACATAACTTCTACATATTCCCTGACCTACCATTTGATCTGGTGTTCTCGATGCAGTGGCTGAGGGCAGTCAACCCTAGGATCGACTGACAATTCCCTAAGGTTGAACTCCTCGATGAACAGGGGGTGTATCAGACTTGCAGGATTGCTGTTGAACACCACCCAACGACCTCTTGCTACTGTTTGAGAGCGAGAGAGTTTTATTCCCTCTTGCGCCGGTACGACCATGAGCGTCTGTTTTTAACTCTAGTCAAGCAAACAGACGCTACAACAGATTGTGGATCGGTATGCTGATCTGATGCAGGAGCCCTTTGGTTTGCCCAACCGACCAACCAAGCATCACATTGAGCTGCTACCTGGAGTGGTCCCTCCCAAGGGCCGCATCTACAGGATGTCCCCTGCTGAGCTTGAGGAGCTCAGAAAGCAGTTAGAGACCCTGACCAGCAAAGGATGGATACGACCGAGCCCATCTGAGTTTGGCGCGCCCGTGCTCTTCGTCCCGAAAGGGAATGGAGAGTTCAGAATGTGCATTGACTATAGGGGCCTCAATAAGATCACTAGGAAAAGTACAAAGCTTATTCCTAGAATCGATGACCTGCTGGATATGGTACATGGTTGTACAATGTTCAACAAAATTGACCTCAGATCTGGCAATCTCCAGATTGATATGGCAGAGGAGGATGTCCACAAGACCGCCTTCAAAACCAGATATGGTACTTACGAATATCTTGTTATGCCATTTGGACTTTGCACTGCCCCAGGTACCTTCTAGACTGAGATGCATCGCATCTTCAGGCCTGGCCTGGACAAGTTCATGGCTGTCTACCTAGATGATATTCTGGTATTCAGCCGAACTGCCAGGGAGCATGCGGAGCATCTAGCTCTGGTTCTTCAGTTGTTACATGACAGCCAGTATAAGATCAACAGAGAGAAGTCCTCTTTTGGAGTTCCCTCTGTCATCTATCTGGGTAATGAAATCTTTGGAGATGGGATGGCCCCTGAAGCAGCCAAAATTGCTGCTATTCAGGAGTGGCCCCAACCACAAACAGTGAGGGATGTCAGGTCCTTCATGGATTTGGCTTCGTACTACAGAAAGTTTGTCAGAAACTTTTCTGCGGTGGCCGCACCCCTGATTAACCTAACAAAGAAAGACACTCCGTTTCTTTGGTCCCTCCCCTGTCAGCTGGCCTTCACACAACTCAAGAAGGCCTTGACTCGTGCACCAGTGCCGAAGTTGGCTGACCCCACTTTGCCATTTATCCTGACCACTGACGTCAGTCAGGATGGCATTGGGGCAGTTCTTCAGCAAGATTATGGGAATGGTCTACGTCCTGTAGAGTTCAAGAGCAAGAAGATCAAGACACAGAAGCTTCAGGACTCTACCTACGAGAAAGAGCTGTATGCTCTTGTCTGTGCACTAAAGCATTGGAAGCACTTTCTCCCGGGAAGACACTTCAAGATCTTTTTTTATCATTCCACATTACAGTGGATGAAGTCCCAGGGAGAATTAAACGATAAGTTAGCACGGTACATTCAGTTCATTGACATATTTGACTTTGAACTGAAACATAAGAAGGGCTGCTACAATAAAGTAGCAGATGGCCTCTCTCGTAGGCCTGACTCTTTTGCGTTGATCTCCTCCACTCACTCCTTTGGAGAGGAGACCCGTCAAACCATTGCTCGTTTACTGCCTCAGGACCCGACTTATGGACCCATAGTCAGGAATCTGCAAGCAAATCCCAACCCTGAACCAGGCTATGCCCTGAGTTTAGACTTGTTGTATACTTACAGCTGGGGTGAGGAGCACTTATGCATTTCCCAGGATCGGCGACTGAGGACTCTGCTGATGTCAGAGTGCCATGATGCACGCGATCGTTTTGGGTTCCTAAAGTCATATGCAACCTTGTCGCAACGCTTCTTCTGGAGGGAGATGCGGAGTGATCTGCTGCACTATATTGAAACCTGTGAGCTCTGCCATAAAAATAAGGTCCAGCGTAGACCTCCTCTGGGACTGCTCAAACCCTTGCTTATACCTGATGGTCTTGCTGAATCTGTATCTATAGATTTTACAGATCTAGGCAAGGCCACCCCTCGTGGCATGCGTCAGGTAATGGTCTGTGTAGACAGATTCTCGAAGTACGCAGAGTTCATCCCCTTGCCAGAAGTAGCTAGGGTCCCCAATGTGAGAGCAGCGTTTTCAGAGAGGTGGGTCACTCACCATGGACCGCCCACTTCTATAGTGAGTGATAGAGATCCACGATTCTGCAGCAATGAGTGGCGGTCATGCCGCAAGGACTACCTACACTCACGATTGGACATGACTTCTGACCGTCATCCTGAAGCCAATGGTCAGGTTGAAGTGATGAACCAAGTCTTGTTTCAGTTGCCGTGGTCTGTCATCTCTCCAGATCAACAAGACTGGGATCTCCACCTGGCTCGTGCACAACTTGTTTACAATACCTTTATCCACTCTTCCACTGGGTTCAGTCCATATCGTTTGCATTGGGGACGTAAGCCACGACAGCCTCTTGATGACATCATCAACAAGGCTAAGTTTGACTTGACTCCTGGCACTGCGGATTTTACTAGACGCTACAGAGTCGATGTGGAAATTGCACGGGCAAACTTGTTCAAGGCTCAAAAGACCATGATTGAACAAGCTAATGGCCACTGACGTCCTTCCTCCATTCGTATTGGCGATTACGTTTGGGTAGCCAGTTCAGAGTTGTCGAGGGAAGAGGATATCTCTCCCAAGCTGTTGCCACGATACCTGGGTCCGTGGCAGGTGTTAGATACAGTAGGCTCCGATCCTTTTGGCCCATCGTACGTTATCGACGTCCCACTGCATCTACAGACCTGTTCGGTATTCCATGCATCCAAGCTGCTTCCCTTAATCTCAACTGATGCATTCCCAGACCGGCCCCCTCAGTTTGGTCCACTGATCCCTGGCAAGGGATATGACGTGGAGTCCATCGAGGACGTAGGGCACTGACCCCGATCGACAGTATCTTGTGAAGTTCTGTTTCCAGCCTCATACCGAGGACAAGTGGTTCACCGGGAAATAACTTCTCATGACAGCAAAGTTTGTAGTACTTCGTTACGAGGCGGCTCAGAAAGGGAACCTTCCTCGTCCATCTCCTCGTCTACACCCTTAGCTCGGAGGTTCTCGCTCCCCTGGAGGGTAAGCCTGTAATGACTGGCTGATTTCTGCTGCCAAGATCTGACTGTGAGGTTGTATAGTCGTGTCTTAGGGTCAGATTCGTGATTTTGTTTGTGTCAGGGACTAACCGTGAGTTCAGTCCGAGGGAAATCCAGGAGGGACAGATCTATAAATTTGGGAAAATTGTACTCCCAGTAGTACCCCGAATTTCCTCTAGTACCCTCACTACCTCTAGCAGCACCGGGCTATCACTGAGATAGCACGCCCAGTGGGCCTTGGGCTGTAGCGACGGTCTTACGCCGTATAGCTGGATAGGGTCGAGGCCGAACAGGCCAAACTGAAACAGTACCGGTCCCAATAGGTCTAGGTTTAGAGGAGGTTAGTCTATTAATAGGACTGAGCCGGTAGTTTAGGGACGTTTGGCTGTTCATTTTCGGGACCGCGTTTGGAGCCAAGCAAGTTGGTGGTGGAGATTGTCTACAGGCGGCATCCCAAGACTCTCCGTGGACGGCAGCCATAGCCAGCCTTCCGGAGGTTGCCATAGCTAGGGCATCCTCGGAGCATCTACCCGTTAGAGTATCTACGTTTGGTTGGGCTACTGAGGCTCTTCATTGAGTATTCATGGGTGGACCACTGTCGCCCATCTCTCCTCCGGGGTTATTAGGGCTCTATAAGTGGTGTGGCAGTCATAGCTGCCAACTTCTTCGTCAGAGTTGTTCATCGGCGCTAAAGGCTTCGTCGCAGCACCTGTTCTCCATCTGGGCGATTGGCGCTGGCCTCTAGGAGGCCATTTTAGGGTGGCGCTACTAACTGGGTGTAGGATAGAGAGTGGTGTGTAGAGTGCTTAGCGTGGCGAGACACTGGAACAAACTCTGTAACGATAATTGGTTTGAGTTGGCCCATCATCAGTGTGAATCCTATTGTTATCCTCGCCGGTGTCTTCTTGTGATTGGTTGTTGGGAGTTTCGTCAAAGAGTGAGAAACACTGTGTGTCTTCTCCCCATTTGTGCATGGTTGTATTTCGCTGCCTACTTTGATATGTGTACATTTTGAACTCTGTCTCCTCTCCCCTTCGTCTTATGCATGTATGGGCGTGTATGAGATTGTCTGTGTGTGAGTGGCGGTGAAAATCGTCAGACAACCAAGTTCATAACACAATGCTGCTGAAGGGATATGATTATTTTCTTAATAAGAAAATAATTATTTGATTAAATCATACTTGCAGTGCATCGGCCTTGTGCGCTGCGCAGTACACTGTGCAGCGCGCGGTGCGTGGACCCGAGGTGCGCACACCGCGCACCTGGCTGCGTGGTGCGCGCTGGCAGGCTGCATATGCGCCACGTGCACACATCATATATTTTTTATTTTTTATTTTATGTTGCATTGGAACACACATACACACATTGGAACACACGGCTGCAAAATCTGCTTCACCAACGCCATCGACAACTTCACTTGCACACACACAATTCACAAACAGCCCAAGCGTCAGCCCCTCTTCAACACTTTTCAAAGGAAACAGCGTCCGCCCCTCAAGCCCTCCCCTCAAACCCTCCTCCCCACACACACACACACACAGATTAGAACACACGGCTGCAAGATCTGCTTCGCCAACGCCATCGACAGCTTCACTTGCGCACACACAATCCACAAACAGCCCAGGCGTCAGCCCCTCTTCAACACTTTTCAAAGGAAACAGCGTCCGCCTCTCAAACCCCCC